AAAGTTGTAGTATGGAGTTCAAGAAAGTAGGCAAGGCAAGTTTATTTATATGCACAATTCATACACACAGCAACTCAAAGTGCTGGACAAAACAAGATGGAGACAGTCACACAAGGCATTTAAATAATCACAGTACATTAAGAAGAAAGAAAATATAAAAGTAGCTTGAAAGAAGAGGTGGTTATTGTGTCCTCGGTAGTTCTATGCCAGGACTCTCCAACCTGTGGCTCAGGCGTTACCAGTAGCTCGCCAGCCTCTTTCAGGTAGCTCCCCAAAGGATTTAGAATTCAACATAGGATCTTGTACGAATACATTTTGAGTTATGATATATCTTTCTTAAATATAGGGTTTTACAGTATTATGGTGTAGTTATGTGTTCTCTATCTTTTGTCATAATTATTATATAGATGTTTAATTACGACTGAAAAAAGGAGTAGCTCTCCGATTGAAAAAGGGTGGAGTCCCCTGTTCTATGCTGTACAACCCACAATTAGCAAAATTCTTCAGGTAGCAGCTGTGTGTTTTAAGGCTGTAAATCTCCTCACACACACTTTATACACCTTTCTAACCACCTGAACTCGACGACTGATGAAGTGAGAGAGACCAGAGATATCAAATCTGTTGGTCTGAGCGCTGCTGCAGCTGTCAAAAGCCGTGCATACACTGTAAACTGTAGACTCCCTGTCCCTGTCTCCTTCTACTCAATGAACAACTGCAGCTGTCACTAAAGCGGAGGTGTCAAACCAGTCCTCAAAGGGTCTGAGTCTGGTGTGCTCCTGCTCGGTTGGAATGAACTCCTGCAGCCGCACCTGCCCTTTGAGGACTGGGTTGAGAGCCCTGCACAAAAGCCTTCACCAATTGTGGAAAATGTAAAATTGTAAAAATGTGCTATATATATATAAATATCACTTACTTAGGCTGACAGTGCTGTTGGACATAAACACACAACGTCAGGACAATCGTCTACACAATATCCACACAAGAATATAGCATCACCCAGTCCTATCAGTGCAAGGATACAAAATAATACACTAGTAAAAGACCACAGATAAAAACAGTTTTACACAATAAGCAAAATATTCATTCATTTGTTTATTTATTTCAAACATACACGGAATACAAACAATTATTCACAGGGAAATATGATCATAAGAGAAAACAAGAAAACGTGTGTGATTTGCAAAGGGCTTAAGTTAACACATACATACAATCCACTTTATTTAAATCGCAAATTTTGTATAACACGTTTCCAAAGTTCTGCACGAATAAAGGCAACACAAAATATGCAAGTCTGTCAGCTTAAAATAAAAACAATTAAATTAAAACAATGATCTATAGACATATAAATAAACATCCATCCATCTTCTTCCCCTTAAAAACTCATTGACTGCCAGCCCATTTCAGAACAGGTACTTCCATATTGCCAGCCGTTTCTGATGGTTTTTACTGATTTTTAAAGACCCACAGAATATTGTGTACTATGACTACTGAAATCCGACACCAGATTCTAAAAGAATGGACTGTCTACTTTCCTCAGCAAAAAGAATTTTGTTTATAGCTTTTTTCGTTCCCCTGTAGTCCTCCGTCGAGTAGAGGGAAGTTTCACTGAAATCACCAGAAAGTTGAGAAAAAAGAGGCACAACATGTGCATCTAACTGTTTTCAAACCATTCAGAGAGAAATGCTGCCACCTGCTGGCTCGATAAAATATGGTCTCAAGTCATCCCCATACATATTAGATACAATAGACATCTGGGAACGTGAAAATAGCGGAAAAGGCAATTGACGTATTAATGACGTATATTGACGTAAAATTAATTAATTTTAATCAATTTCTGGGTCGGGGGAGTGGCCAGAGCTGCACCCAGTCCACAGAGCACTAGCCCCTCACTGATCCTCCTGCAGGTGTTGAGTCCACAGGAGCTGAGATCTTTCAGTTGGGGCTTCAGGCAAAGTGGGGTTAAGTGTCTTGCCCAAGGACATCAGTGGGAGTCGGTAGAGAAGGTTTCATGGTGGGCTCGAACCCACGACCTTCAGGCTCAAAGGCCAGTGCTCAACCAACTGAGCCACTGCCTAAAGTGCTAGTGCAGTGCAAATCAAAGGTATACAGGAGATATTTCTACTTCCGGGTGGATCATCAAGACTATTGGTCCTCTCAAATGTCAATCATTCTGGTGAATGATTCTTTGCCCCAACAAAGTGCTTGTGCAGTTAGAATCAGTATTGCACACACGGCTGAAAAGGAGACACATGAGAGCTCAGGAGCGTTGCACCTGCCCGAGCGAGAAGACGATTCAAGTTGTTGAGCGGAGAGATGCAGGAACAAAATAACATTTAAATCTGTCGCTCCGGGGCCTGACAGCTCCATAGTGCCCCCCTGAGGGCAAAAGCACACACACACCGTGCTGTACGTGAGAGGGCTGTGGGATGATGGTTTTAGCGTGTGCGGAGTTTATCCACGTTCACGTTATTAAACAAAGACTTCTCGTGGATTCCTGTCGTTACCATGGTGATTAGAAATACAGTCACACAAACACACACTAGTATACTGAATATGTTGTTCTATTTAATGTCTTCGATTTTGTCTGTTTTGAGTTATACGTTTTTTATTTTCAAGAATTCAAGAATGTATTTGCCATTTGCAGTAAAACCACATTGGAATAACTGTGCAAGGCTACTACCCCATGTCTTTCATTTTATCCGTATGTCGTCTTCTTTTTTATGTCTTCTGAAAAAAATTAAATGAAAAGAAAAAACAATATTTGAGCTGGGTTGAATGTTCTTATGTACACTACAAAAAAATTATAAAATATGAGGTAGTAATTGCGTGAATTTAGTGGTTTTTACCATAATTTGACTTAATTCTGACTGTGTTAAAACGAGCTTCTCCAACGAGACAAAGCCACTTAGACTTATTTCAAGAACTATTGCTGTATTTTCTCATTCCAAGAGAGAGATTTCTTGTACGTCCAAGACGTTTTAATGTTATGAAAAGCCTTTTTCAACCTGTCATTTTCAATCACTGGACGAAGTAGCGACCACGGCACAAGATGGAGATTTTTATTTCACAGTCTTGAAAAGGGGTTGAATGAGGAAAACGTGAAATCAGCCACTCAACACAGAGAAACGAGACGAATTGGATCCAAATCAAACAAAAAGAACAAAACAAAAGCTACATGTGACAGTAAGAGGACGATACAACTTCTCTGACAATGTTCCAATGTCTCTGTCTTGTTTTGTTCAGCACTTTACCTTGTGTATGAACTGTGCTATACATATAAACTGGCCTTGCTGTGGCATGGTATAGGACCACACACACTTGCACACACACACACACACACACACACAGGGTCGGAGCGTGTTTCTGTGTGTGTGGTTATATATGTGTGTGTGTGTGTGTGTGTGGTTATATACAGTGGGGCAAAAAAGTATTCAGTCAGCCACCGATTGTGCAAGTTCTCCCACTTAAAATAATGACAGAGGTCTGTAATTTTCATCATAGGTTCACTTCAACTGTGAGAGACAGAATGTGAAAAAAAAATTCCAGGAATTCACATTGTAGGATTTTTAAAGAATTTATTTGTAAATTATGGTGGAAACTAAGTATTTGGTCACTTCAAATAAGGAAGATCTCTGGCTCTCACAGACCTGTAACTTCTTCTTTAAGAAGCTCTTCTGTCCTCCACTTGTTACCTGTATTAATGGCACCTGTTTGAACTCGTTATCTGTATAAGAGATAGCCCAAATGTAGCCAAAAACGATATTTCAACCACTGATAATCTCGCTTGATATGGGGCTCCACGCAAGATCTCATCCCGTGTGGTCAAACTGATCATGAGAACGGTGATCAAATATCCCAGAACCACACGGGGGGACCTGGTGAATGACCTGCAGAGAGCTGGGACCAAAGTAACAAAGGATACCATCAGTAATACACTACGACGACAGGGAATCAAATCTTGCAGTGCCAGACGTGTCCCCCTGCTGAAGCCAGTGCATGTCCAGGCCCGTCTGAAGTTTGTCAGAGAGCACATGGATGATACAGCAGAGGATTGGGAGAATGTCATGTGGTCAGATGAAACCAAAGTAGAACTGTTTGGTATAAACTCGACTCGTCAGGTTTGGAGGAAGAAGAATACTGAATTGCATCCCAAGAACACCATACCTACTGTGATGCATGGGGGTGGAAACGTCATGCTTTGGGGCTGTTTTTCTGCTAAGGGGACAGGACGACTGATCCGTGTTAAGGAAAGAATGAATGGGCCATGCATCGTGAGATTTTGAGCCAAAACCTCCTTCCATTGAATTGAATTTCTGTTATTGACCAGATACTTATTTTTCAGCATAATTTACAAATAAATTCTTTAAAAATCCTACAATGTGAATTCCTGGATATTTTTTCACATTCTGTCTCTCACAGTTGAAGTGAACCTATGATGAAAATTACAGACCTCTGTCATTATTTTAAGTGGGAGAACTTGCACAATCGGTGGCTGACAAAATACTTTTTTGCCCCACTGTAGGTGTGTGTGTGTGGTTATTTGTGTGTGTGGTGAAATGTGTGTGTGGTTATTTGTGTGTGTGGTGAAATATGTGTGTGTGTGTGTGGTGATATATGTGTGTGTGTGCATACTTGTTTTAAATGTACTGTTTCGCGGCAAATGCATCTTCTGGGGACTTCCCTTTTACAAAGCACTTACAGTACAAATCATAGGAATATATATGTTTTAGAAATAAAGAGAGAATTGTGTGTGTGTTATGTCGAGACAGATGATCTTGTTCTTGCACTAAAGCAGTTTTGTGTAATCATTTGTCAAACATTAAAAATAGAAAAAAATCCTCATTTCTCCTCTCATGGAAGGACAAGCTCTTTACAGCCAGCCCTTATTATTAGACCCTATAATAGTGTGTTATGTTACCCTGCGACATCTCATCTGCCCATCTCCTCATACACCACACAGAGTCCAGTCCCGGGTGTCTATAGGAGCCATGTCCACTCAGGGGCGCCTCACAGGGACAGACCTCCTCACAGGGACAGCCCGCCTCACAGGGACAGGCCGCCTCGCAGGGACAGGCCGCCTCACAGGGACAGGCCGCCTCGCAGGGACAGGCCGCCTCGCAGGGACAGGCCGCCTCACAGGGACAGGCCGCCTCACAGGGACAGCCCGCCTCACAGGGACAGCCCGCCTCACAGGGACAGCCCGCCTCGCTGGGACAGGCCGCCTCACAGGGACAGCCCGCCTCACAGGGACAGGCCGCCTCACAGGGACAGGTCGCCTCACAGGTACAGCTCGTCTCACTGGGACAGGCCGCCTCACAGGGACAGGCCGCCTCACAGGTACAGCCCGCCTCACTGGGACAGGCCGCCTCACAGGGACAGGCCGCCTCACAGGGACAGGCCGCCTCACAGGGACAGGCCGCCTCACAGGGACAGGCCGCCTTGCTGACTTTGCTCCAAGCTTCTGCACTTTTACTTTGTTACTTTGACATTGACTTTGCACAGTATCCATCGTGGTGTGTCTCCGGAGGCGGACCCCGGGGTCAGGGAACGTAACGCTGAGCAAACGCTGCGGCGAGGACGAGGTGCGTTCAAGAGCGGAAGGAAAATCTGACATTGAAGAGACACAGTTAAAGCTGGAGTACTTGTTGTTTTACCGTTTTAGTCTTGTGGTTCTGTCTTTTCCACAGAAGAAAATGACCTAAAGACCTGCTACTCCTGCTTTAGACCCGTTTTTAGACCTGTAAGAGTAAAGCAAGTCTAAAGCAGGACAAATACAGACTAAAAGCAGGGCAAAAGCTGGTCTCAAGCAAGACTAAAGCAAGTCTAAACTCAGACTTAAGCAGATCTAAACCAGGACTGAAGCTGGTATAAAGCAGGACTAAAGCAGAGCTAGAGCAGGTCTAAAGCAGATCCAAAGCAGGTCTAATGCAGGACTGAAGCAGGTCTAAAGAAGGACTAAAGTAGGCCTAAATCAGGAATAAAGAAGGACAAAAGCAGGTGTAAATCAGAGACTAAAGCGGGTCTAAAGAAGGACTAAAGTAGAACAAAAGGAGGACTGAAGCCTGTCTAAATCACAACTGAAGCAGGTATAAAGCAGGACTAAAGCGGGTCTAAAGCAGGTCTAAAGCGGGTCTAAAGCATGTCTAAAGCAGGTCTAAAGCATGTCTAAAGCGGGTCTAAAGCAGGTCTAAATGAGGAAAGAAGCAGGTCTAAAGAAGGACTGAAGCAGGACAAAAGGAGGTCTAAAGCAGATATAATGCAAGACTAAACCAGATCAAAAGCAGGAGAAAAATACATACAAATACAGGCATGTGAAATGTAAGTGATAGAAGGAACCAGTTTGCTAGGCTTTAGTTCATTTCTGTAGTTTTAGACTCTTAGCCCTCCAGCTTTAATGAAAATCCACAAAAGCTAAATTGGAATTGTTTACAACAAAAACTGTCAAATAATCATGTTTGCGCCCACAGTCAGAATAATCCAAGCCCGGTCAGTGAATGTCCAGTTTAATATCATTTGTCGTTCCTTTCTGACATTGCCCTGAACATTTGGCAACAGAAGTCCCCGTGCCCTGAAGTCCCTGAGCTGCGGCTGAGGGCGTCGTGACCGCGCCGAGCTCTGCAGGTGAATACATTTCCACACTTCAGTGGGGCTGTCCGCATCACTCCCAGCATCCTCTGCTCTGAAAGCTCCGCAGCTCACATCTCCAAACATGAAAGTCAGAATTAGGTTATGAATACCAGACGTTTTTTTTTTTTTTACCTATATTTAAAACAGGAAAGTGTTTTTTCAAGGGAGTCCTAGACAGATGGATAGATAGTAGGTAGGTAGATAGACAGATAGATGGATGAACAGATAGGTGGGTGGGTAGGTAGGTAGGTATATAGATAGATAGATAGATAGATAGTAGGTAGGAGGGTAGGTAGGTAGATAGATAGATAGTAGGTAGGTAGATAGATGGATAGATAGTAGGTAGGTAGATAGATGGATAGATAGTAGGTAGGTAGATAGATGGATAGATAGCAGGTAGGTAGATAGATGGATAGATAGTAGGTAGGTAGATAGATGGATAGATAGTAGGTAGGTAGATAGATGGATAGATAGTAGGTAGGTAGATAGATGGATAGATAGCAGGTAGGTAGATAGATGGATAGATAGTAGGTAGATAGATAGATGGATAGATAGTAGGTAGGTAAATAGATGGATAGATAGCAGGTAGATAGATAGATGGATAGATAGTCGGTAGGTAGATAGATGGATAGATAGTAGGTAGGTAGATAGATGGATAGATAGATGGATAGATAGTAGGTAGGTAGATAGATGGATAGATAGTAGGTAGGTGGATAGATAGATGGATAGATAGTAGGTAGATAGATGGAAAGATAGATGGATAGATAGTAGGTAGGTAGATAGATGGATAGATAGTAGGTAGGTAGATAGATGGATAGATAGATAGATGGATAGATAGTAGGTAGGTAGATAGATGGATAGATAGTAGGTAGGTAGATAGATGGATAGATAGTAGGTAGGTAGATAGATGGATAGATAGTAGGTAGGTAGATAGATGGATAGATAGTAGGTAGAAGATAGATGGATAGATAGTAGGTAGGTAGATAGATGGATAGATAGTAGGTAGGTAGATAGATGGATAGATAGATGGATAGATAGTAGGTAGGTAGATAGATGGATAGATAGTAGGTAGGTAGATAGATAGTATGTAGGTAGATAGATGGATAGATAGTAGGTAGGTAGATAGATGGATAGATAGTAGGTAGAGAGATAGATAGATAGATAGTAGGTAGGTAGATAGATGGATAGATAGTAGGTAGGTAGATAGATGGATCGATAGTGGAAAGATAGTAGGTAGGTAGATAGATGATAGATAGAGCTGGATAGTTAGTAGGTAGGTAGATAGATGGATAGCATAGTAGGATAGATAGTAGGTAGGTAGATAGATGGATAGATAGTAGGTAGGTAGATAGATGGATAGATAGTAGGTAGGTAGATAGATGGATAGATAGTAGGTAGGTAGATAGATGGATAGATAGTAGGTAGGTAGATAGATGGATAGATAGTAGGTAGGTAGATAGATGGATAGATAGTAGGGTAGGTAGATAGATAGGGATAGATAGTAGGTAGGTAGATAGATGATAGATAGTAGGTAGGTAGATAGATGGATAGTATGGTAGGATAGATGGATAGATAGTAGGTAGGTCGATAGATGATGGATAGATAGTAGGGTAGGTAGATAGGTAGGTAGTAGAGTATAGATAGTAGGTAGGTAGATTGATGGATAGATAGTAGGTAGGTAGATAGATGGATAGATAGTAGGTAGGTAGATAGATGGATAGATAGTAGGTAGGTAGATAGATGGATAGATAGCAGGTAGATAGATAGATGGATAGATAGTCGGTAGGTAGATAGATGGATAGATAGTAGGTAGGTAGATAGATGGATAGATAGATGGATAGATAGTAGGTAGGTAGATAGATGGATAGATAGTAGGTAGGTGGATAGATAGATGGATAGATAGTAGGTAGATAGATGGAAAGATAGATGGATAGATAGTAGGTAGGTAGATAGATGGATAGATAGTAGGTAGGTAGATAGATGGATAGATAGTAGGTAGGTAGATAGATGGATAGATAGTAGGTAGGTAGATAGATGGATAGATAGTAGGTAGGTAGATAGATGGATAGATAGTAGGTAGGTAGATAGATGGATAGATAGTAGGTAAGGTAGATAGATGGATAGATAGATGGATAGATAGTAGGTAGTAGATAGATGGATAGATAGATGGATAGATAGTAAGGTAGGTAGATGATGGATAGATAGTAGGTAGGTAGATAGATAGTAAGGTAGGTAGATAGATGGATAGTATAGTAGGTAGGTAGATAGATGGAGATAGTAGGTAGGTAGATAGATAGATAGTAGGTAGGTAGATAGATGGATAGATTGTAGGTAGGTAGATAGGTGGATAGATAGATGGATAGATAGTAGGTAGGTAGATAGATGGATAGATAGATGGATAGATAGTAGGTAGGTAGATAGATAGTAGGTAGGTAGATAGATGGATAGATAGTAGGTAGGTAGATAGATGGATAGATAGTAGGTAGGTAGATAGATGGATAGATGGTAGGTAGGTAGATAGATGGATAGATAGTAGGTAGTAGATAGATGGATAGATAGTAGGTAGGTAGATAGATGGATAGATAGTAGGTAGGTAGATAGATGGATAGATAGTAGGTAGGTAGATAGATGGATAGATAGTAGGTAGGTAGATAGATAGATAGTAGGTAGGTAGATAGATGGATAGATAGTAGGTAGGTAGATAGATGGATAGATAGTAGGTAGGTAGATAGATGGATAGATAGTAGGTAGGTAGATAGATGGATAGATAGTAGGTAGGTAGATAGATAGATAGATAGTAGGTAGGTAGATAGATGGATAGATAGTAGGTAGGTAGATAGATGGATAGATAGTAGGTAGGTAGATAGATAGATAGTAGGTAGGTAGATAGATGGATAGATAGTAGGTAGATATATAGATGATAGATAGATAGTAGGTAAGAATGTAGATAGATAGGTAGTTAGGTCCGGTAGCAGTAGAAACAAACAAAACACATAAATAGATCATTCTAAAAATAGCTAATAATATTTGTGTAATGTCGAGTATTAAAATGCTACTGATGGCGGCACGGTGGCTGAGTGGATAGCACTCTCGCCTCTCAGCAAGAAGGTCCTGGTTCGAATCCCGGTCGGACCAGGGCCTTTCTGAGTGGAGTTTGCATGTTCTCCCTGTGTCTGCGTAGGTTTCCTCCGGGTACTCCGGTTTCCCCTACCACTAAAAAATATGTCCAATAGTTCTGGCATGCGCCTCCTGTTCGGCTCCCATCTCTGTGTGGAGTGAGAGACAAATGCCCAAAATTAACAATTGTAAACCGCTTTGAGACTCAGATCTGCAGTGAAAAGGCGGTATATAAATAAAAACTTACTTACTTACTTACTTACTGCACTTTAGGTCACAGCAGCAAAGGTGGAGGAGCCGCTTGTAAATCCATGAACACATTACTGCTGCAACGTCTCGGGTTGAAAGAAGCAAGAAAGATAACAATTGTAAAGCACAAAACAACAACTGTTTCAGAGCTGCTTAGGACTTGCTGCCGTTTCCAGCACATTTGAAAGTAAATAAGAAAAAAAACATCCAAAAAAATCTCCAAATTATTACTTGTATATGGTTGGAAATCGCTAACATAGACTGTAAACAGATGGACAATGCTAACATAGACTGTATACAGATGGACAATGCTAACATAGACTGTATACAGATGGACAATGCTAACACAGACTGTATACAGATGGACAATGCTAACACAGACTGTATACAGATGGACAATGCTAACACAGACTGTATACAGATGGACAATGCTAACGTAGACTGTATACAGATGGACAATGCTAACATAGACTGTATACAGATGGACAGATGCCTTTATTGCCAGGGGAAACTCCAGCTTGTCATAGCAACCGTCTTAGCAACACGTCTGCCCTTGTGAA